ATTCCATCAAGAACAGCCACAGCCATAGCCCAAAATTCCCAATCAGAGAATCACTACAAATGACAGGTGGACCCCTATATGAAATGGCCTGCCCTGATTTTGCATTTAAGCAAGTGCTGTGTTCAACTGTTCCACTTTTAATTCACTCATATTAAGGAAAATCAATGCACATTAACAAAAAAATCTAGGTACAAAACTGCAGCAATGCTTTCTTCTAACCCTCACATATTTCTGAGCCCTACTACATTCTCTCCTGCTTCAATTGTATTTAGTAAGGTGTACAGTCAATTCTGGAACTGGAAAAATGAAGTCTGCAGGTAGGGAGGAATTCTTTCAGTGTCCAGACACATGCAATCATGTGAATGTCTTAATCATTATTATTTTTGCTAATGTCCAATACATAGATCTCTCTCCCTGTCCTAAACTGATGATAGTTAAGCATGGAATAGAACATAGGGAGACCACATTTTATAAACAGGTTACTTTTTATTTTATATGTAAAAAAAAATATTTTATAAATAAATTTTTTTTTAAAAAAAAGTTATTTTATACTTTTTATTTATATTTATTTTATAAACAGGTATACTTATAGTAGCAAATGAAATAATGGGACAAATTCAAATTTCATAGACTGCTTTAGTATTGATTACAACGTGCTTTAGATATTAGTGATATGGTGCAGAAGGAATCACTTTCATATGTCAAAACAAGAAAATCTGCTGAAAAATTGTCACACCACTGCCTCCAATGAGAACACAAATATTTTGTGCAGTCAAATAGCTGTTTAAAGTTATGTGCAAGCACACATTTTATTTGGAATATACTTGGCTGTGTGTGTGAAGTGAACAGTGAGGTGAGGGTTCCTTACAAAGCGGGAACTCGAAGACCAATGCAACGATAAATATGCAGCTGGCTTCAAAAATTTGATCTTGTCCTCAGTCTGTCCAATAGTTAAACAATGAATTGGTTCTGCAAACCAAGCTCTATTGGAAAGTACTATTAGGCAAAATATGGGAAGGAAAAAAAAGATAGTCAGCTAAATGAAGGAACTGCTCTCTTTAGGTGAGCTTCAGGACTATGACCTAGAGAATTAAGTCAGCAAGGATGTGTTGTGTAAGAAATAATGTCTTCTAGAAACACAGAATTCTGACTGGTTTTTAACCATATTTCTTTTCACACTAAGTATTTATTCACCATTGTTTCATACTTATACTAGCAATCTTATATCTAGAGGAAAAAATATGGACCATCAGATGGCTGACTATAACTTCATCCAGGTTGCAGACAGATTACTACCCTTGATCTGACAGTCTCTGAAATACAGGAAAGCATTTAAGCTACAGAGGAGCTAGAAATAAGCAGCCAAATAATAAAAAATTCAAACTGCAACCAAAACTGGCGGAAGCATGAAAGCTGGTATTTAAAGTTTATTGAATATGTATAATTTAGACCCCAAATTCAAGAAACTGGATGATGTCTCCAGTTAAATGAACTCAACTATTCCATTTTCTGTCCTCATCCTTTCAAATATATGAAATCTGTATAATTACATGTTTTAAAATTATTTGTATATTTTTTCTTTGTCTGTTGCCTTTACACCCCCAAAGGTTGCATTACTTCTCACACAGATCTACTGTGTGGCCTACAGGGGACAGCCCTGGGGCCTTCTCTGTGGAACAAAGTTTGGTGGCTGCTGAAGCCCCAACCTGCACACCCCGCTTCTCTGGGGGCCCACTTTGTGCTTCAGTGTGAAACAGAGGTCCAAGGCAGGCAGGTCCCCATGTATATAAATGCAGCCTGATAAGTATCTTGCTCTTTTCCCATCATTGTTAATTACCAAGTTATTTGTGTGTAAACAGAAGCTTTTGATTTCCTAATCAGCCTCCTGCCCGATTCATTCAGAGATGTCACACACCAGAGTTTGACAGCACAATTAGTCACCATGGAAGCTATTGTGATGTCACAAACACTGAATTGTGGCATCATTGAATGAATCTGGCAGGAGAAGGATGTTGGTTACAAAGGAGAAGGCTTCTGTTTACACAATACCTTGGTAATCAGCAATGATGGGAAAGAGAATATAGAAAAAGAGAGCCTGGTAGTATAATGAGCATTGATAAAACTGAAAATTTGTAAAGGTTTTTAGGAGTTCATGTGGCATATTGAGCTACGGAGATAAAGATTCTGTGAATTATACCTTAATTCTTCACCTCATCCTGTGTCCTCAGAAATCAAAGTATATCACAGATATAGACCAGTGTTTCACGTTAATTTTTTCATATATTTCTACATTAGAAGAGATAATAAAACCATTAAATAATCATAATATCCTTTGTGTTTGGCTTTTTTTTAACTGTTAGTCTGCAAAGCAGTGAATTTTTTTGTGTTTAACAGTATTGGTTTAGTGTATCACATTTCCAGCAAATCATTTCCTTTTTTTATTCATAAGGGTTCTGAATTACATTTTTAGACATAAACTCCCCTCTGTTAGCTACAGATAGCATTCACAATTCCAGTGCTGGCAATTGCAGCTTATGATTTGCCTTCCTCTGTTTTCTAGAACAAACATTCCCCATTAAGTATATCGACTAATGCTCCAAATGCTATACTTTTTAAAGCGTTATTGTATGCTATGGAGAACTGTAGATAGCATTATCTGAGCGATATGCTGTTGCAAGCTGCACAGCAGAACCCGTAACTAATCAGTGCCACAAAATAACAGGAAAAGCAAGACTGAATAACATGAGATCTTTTCAGGTACTGTAATTAAACCAATTCAGGGTGTTATTTAATTCCCCACGGTTTTTCCTCTTGCTGCCTTCTTGAAACTGTAACCATGACACCTTAATTTCAATCAGGTGGAGGAGCTGCTGCCTGGTGAGCAGATACCACCTCTGGTCCAGAAATTGCCCATGGATTTACTGGTGGTGCCACCATTTTTTCCCTGCCTGAAGTCAAGTTTAGCCAACCCCCTCCCCCACCTCAGCATGTCAAGCTTTCATAAGCATTACTGTAGGTATGTAAGGCTGAGTCTGTTCACCCAGGTCTCCCAGCTGGTGATGAGCTGAGCTGTTTCATAGGACCGTACTCTAAGGATCAAGCTTAATTTGACTAAGCTGTTTATTTGCAATAGCTTCAGACACAGCAAGGTAGCAACAGAGCACTAGCATAAAGATTAGACAATTCTTCTTTTTTTTATAATAAAAAAAAACAAAGGATGGGAAATAAGGGAAGGACTTCATATGGCTTAAACGCTTAACACTTCAAATTGTAATACACACAAAGCACGTATGTGACTTCAGCTAATTGTACAAATAAAAGCAGTGGAAAAGAAAATATTCCGTCTGGAAGCACATTCATATGAATTACACATATTTTATATTCCCAGGTAACCATGCCACCCCTTTGACCATTCCCTACCTAATCCTAGGTGAGGGTGATGCTCCACTAGAGTCCAGCTGTTATCATCCACACAATGACTTTTGTAAACGAGCAGCTGACAGAGGTCCCTGGCTGTCATGTCTGCTAGAATCTCGACCACTTTGCTTGTTCCATCTTCACTAAAGACTTTTACATCCTGCAACATAAAGGGTACACTTACAGATCAACAGCTCTGAACATAGGCAAACCACACAGCTACTGTAGAAAAGCATCATCCTCTTGATGTGAGGATTCCAAGCACCTTGGCAGCCAGGACAAATGAAATGGATGATTCACTTTATAATACTTTCTCTTGATGCACCCTAGACCTATTTCCCCTCCCCCCTCCCCAACACCTCCCTGCACTAAACAAAGATTCAGCAGGGTTAATATGACCACATACATAGGAAAAGTGAGAGAGCAGGTTCTGTATAAAGCTGTGTAAGGTAAGGAAACATGAAACAATGTCGAGAGAGTACTCTGGCAACAGTGGGTGAGAGAAATCACATCCAGTCAAACACACACAATTTTCATTGCAATCCCATTGGAGGCCTCTGAACAGTGACAGAGGAGCAGGCCAAGACCCCAGAGATTAAAAAAAAAACTCTCTTGTTCCCCTCTAACTTTTGATTGTTTCTAGCAGGGAAGTCCCACTTGCAGTTTGCTGGCAAAATCAATTACTAGCACAGTCCACACATTTCTCTCCCTGCCCTGACTTCTCTTTTGATCCTAGCTTGAAAGTGATTTGAAACCAAATGTGCATACACTGCACATCCTAAATATCAATGGGGATGAGAGAACAAGTCAAGAACCTTCTCCGCCAGCTCCTGAATTATACAGATGCTTTCCTCTTTGCATTGTTCTGCTCAAGCGAGAGACACTTCCTGCAAAATTATTTCTCCGGGTGAACGTGCAGGTCCCAGATTTAAATCAACTCCGTGTTCAAAATGCTCCCCATCACAGCGAGAGAAGGAGAGTCTAACAAAAACCTGAAGGATAATTCGATATGGAAAATCTTACCTCAACAGCACGTAAAAGGCAGCAGTCGGAAGAACAAGATGGCATTTTAAATGGGGATTGCCTCTTGAGAGTTAGTTCTCTGCCTCCGCCGACCCTCTGCAGCCTGCGGCTGGGTGACTGGGATGCCGGCGGCGTCAGGGGCGGTCGTACCCTACCTGTCACGTAGCCCCTGCTATGGGGACTGTTTCTGGGGAGGGAAACAACTCTGCCAGAGCTCCACTCAAAGGGTTACACGCAATCTTTGCGGTAGTGAATCAAACCACACTGTGCAGACCAATCCTAGCCCTCCCTCCGACTGATGTAATCATTTCCCACACACTATCAGACTTCCAAATTATTCCCGCCTCCCCCACCCCCTCACCCCCCAAAGAAAAAGAAGGAATTACAAAGGAAATGTGGGGTTTTTATTACGACCTCGGGGCGCTTGAGACCCCTGGGGCGGCCGCGGGGCGGGGTGTGGGGAGCCCAGCACGCGTGTGCCGCCGCTGCCCCGCTGCTGGTCCCGCCCGCAGCCNCACCGCGCCGGGCCCGAGCGAGCACGGCCGGCGCCGCCCCCGGCCGCCGCTCCCCGGTGCCCCGGCCATGCACAAATTCGAGCCCAGCGAGGGAGGAGTTAAAGCTTCATCCAGCCCAAGTGACTGAAACCCGCGCGTTCAGGAGACGGCTTCGTCTGACAGCAGGGATAATGAGCCAGCTCTTTCAGGAGCGGGCTTTGGAGAGGAGAGGAGGGGGAATCCCGGTTGCTCGGGGGAAGGCATGCGTGCTGTGCCGTGTTACGGCTGCATTCCTGCCGACGCTCAGCGAAGCCAGAGGCATCCTCACACACGCAGGAATTTGTTGGGCGTGGGGTGCCCCCGTTTTCTGTCCTGCGGGCAAGTTTCTGTTGTGTCACTAGCACCGTGTGGCAGCAGAGCCCCACGGCATCACACCCGCCGCGGTCCCGGCCCGCTCCGCCACTCGGCAGCGCGGCCGTGGGACGGGGGGACACGGGTGGACGGATGCCCGAGACATCCCGCAGGCATCGCACCGCAGCGTGCGAGTGGGGAGCGCAGTTCCCGTGTCCCCTCCCTCCTAGGATGGGCAAGCACACCGAAAAGCCAATATGCAACAAGACGGAAAGTAGCTATTTTGTTTGTTTTAGGGGGGAGTGGGAGGGACTAACACCCGCTTCGAATTTTTTTTCTTCTACTTTTTATAGTATAGCCATAGATTGGACCGAAAAGTTGGTGGCGAAATAAGTAATTTCTACTTTCAGCTTACTCTGTGCACGTAACTGCAGTTTTTGTATCGAAACTAAACTATTTTGGATGGATTTCCTACCTCGGGAACCAACCTGGTGACATCATTCATTCATTAGTCAGGAGAAGCACAACCCTCTGCTCTCTGCATCAGCTTTCACAGGGGAGCCCGAATCAGGAATATACCACAGCAATCGCCACTTTTGCAAGACCTGGGGGACAAACCCCGCCTCTTTTCCTTTCCTGCTGGGAACAAGGCAATGATACAGGACAGACTGCATCTGATCATTGTCCGTGCCAATTCCCAGAAGAGAGGCAAAGCTCTTCTGCTGAGGGTGCCTCTCCAGCCCATGCAGGTGGAAAAGAGAGAGCTGTAAGAAAACCACCACACTTTTCTCTGCTCCCAAGCATGGACAGCCTTAATGATGTGCGGCCACTGGAAGAAAGCTGCAGGTGTCTTTTATGCTCATTCATGCTGTGCTCTCTCGGTATGAAGTAAAGGGGTCATGGGTACGTGTCCCACCCTTCCCATCCTTGCCCAGAGTCTGAGCTGATGCTGATGCCAGCCCCAGTGAAGTACCGCAGCATTTCTAACTCCTGGGTACCCAGCGCTGCAGTTCGGTGTGCGACTACTGTAATGCCATGTTCCCTCCTCCAGAGAGCCAGGCCCTGGAGGCAGCACCCACTGTCCTGACACAGCCACTATGGGAGTTAAGTTACAAACATGGCTATGTTCATTCGTGGGACCAGTCAGCCCTTGGGGTGATAACATTGCCTTCAAAGCCCAGGGACTGGAGTGCAGTGCGTGCCCAGCACAAACGCAGCGATGAGCAAGTTAACTTCACTGACTATTAATAGTGCTGTGTTTGCCATCAAGGACAGTGCAAGGCCATGTATCACCGCTGACATCAAAGATATAAAACACTGCATCAGGAGGGGATTGTAATGGCCTGAGCTGAACCCTGCCCCAGAGGACAGGAGAGAGGCAGAAGTGAGATGAAACCCTGTGTCTCTGCAGAGGCAAGAGTACAACAGCCCCTAAGAGACTTACATGGAAGGTAAGGGGATTTTATGCCTCCACACAACACTGCAGAGTTATGAAGTATAGCCACAAATACGAAACCAGCTTGACAACAAAGCCTCACCTCCTGTGAGGTGATAGTTTCTGTGACAAAAGATGCAGATAACAGTATTCCTTTATCACAAACTGGACTGAATTTAAAGTCGATTTCTCAAATCCAACTCTCTCACTTTTCCCTTTTTTCTTTTTTTTTCCCCCTAAGGAAGCACCTCCCACTTTAAGGGCTCTCTATTCAATCTTCTTCCAGCAGAAATATTGTTTCACTTCCAAAATTTACTTGGGGCTTATTATCTACAAAGGAAAATGAAACAGGATTCATTTGAACAAAATACTCCAATACTGAAAACACTTAGCCTGATAAGAGGTTCAGAAAGTTACTCTGACACTTTTTCTCTGCATCCCTCAGAGAAATGCAGTGAAATGCAACAGCAGACTGCCTGCAACAGTGATTTACAAAAGGCCCTAATTACGTCAGCAGCACAAGGCACCTTCTATTCAAAATTAAGGTTAAGAATGCTAAGCCAACCAGAGCACTATATTGGCTGAACATTCAGTGCTTTACAGTGCAAAGGAGCAGATAACAGACTGCACCATTGTTCTGGGAAGAAGTCTTCCCCCAAGCTTTTCTTTTCTTTTTTCAAAAGACAAAAAGACATAAAAAATTAAAAATTTAAAAGAACATTAATATTCATCACTTCAGTGGTTTCATATAATGGGTCGCATATCTTGACTATCTTCATGGCTGTTTCATCTTCCAGCCTCAGTTCCTCAACCTCACTGCAGTATTTTGTGTGTATCAAGTAATGCAAATATTTCAGGAATGTGAAAGGAAAGAAGAAACAAAAACAAAAATCAGAAAGCTCAAACTGTCATGTGATGGTCACATAATTTCTTCTCCACTTATTATGCTATTTCTTTCATTTTTTCTTCAAAACAAAACCTATGACAATACACAATGATCACAAAAACTGACTGTTTTACATGATGCTATGCTGAAAATCTTCAGTGGCAAACAGATCTATATTTGCATTCTACAATCTGAAACAGTGTAATTTATATCAGTGCAGACCAACCTGTGTTATCCTGGGTTATGACTCCAAACATAAGAAGGAAGCACCTGTTATCAGAAGGCCCTCTGACTGAAATTTAATAGATAAAAGGTTTCAGTACACAAACAAAAGTTTTTAGTTCTTCTAGAGTTCCCCTTTACAAGAGACGTAGATCAGAAACTTCACAGAAAGCTATTAAAATACACTGAAGTATCATTACTAAGAGCTGCACGAAGAGAAAATCAGTCCAGCAAGTTTTGACTTACATCCCCCAATTTTACTCATCAAGACTGCTCAGACATGACAATCATACAGTCAGTGAGGTAAATAGAAGGAAAATGGAACTGAAATGTATGCACGTGCCATATGCAAGCAGAAGCAGCTATTTACTGCAGAAGGCACCTATGTACCAGGCAGGTACTTGGTGTTTTCAGTGGAACCCATTTTTAATGAGATCTTTTTTCTGAAAGCTTTTTATAATCAAAGCTTATCAGCTCACAAGAGCAGAGTCAGTCACTGGAGAAATGAGGAAGCTTTCAATTAGGTCAACTCAAAGCTGCTGAAGACTCAAGCTCAGCCTGTAGGCTACCCCTGAACTGCTATTTGCCTGGTGGGAAAAGCAACAAATAAAGGAAGGTTTTGCTTCCTAAAGTTACAAACTTTTGAAAAAGAATGGCCTCTAAGCATCCTTGATGCACACCTGACAGGCAAGCAACTCAGTCAACCACATCTACATGCTGGAGCACCAGCCAGTCCCCCTTTACTTGCCCAGCAGCATTAAGGCAGTTTTGTAAGACATGGAAATTTCAATTGCTGCAATGAAATAAATATATAGGTCAACTCTATGGCTCTTTTTGCCTTCTCTGTTGCGCTGCTCATGCAGGAAAATCGCCCTTCAGACAAACAGCAGTGGTAACAGCAATACATCATGGATAAGATCACTTATACACAAGGCATCAGATAGTACTTCCTTATAAAAGAAAAAAACCTGTGAGGTATTCGATCATTGTCTTTTTGTTCCCTACATATACACATAAAACCCTTGGAAATGCTGAGGTTAAGGTTCTCATAGCAACATTAACTCTCTCCTCTGGCATACACTATATTTAGGTACACATTTAAAAGCCTATGAACAATGAAGGAGAACAACTGTTGTACGATCAAGATCTTAGTCTATGACTTTCATATTCAGAACAGCAACCTCAAAAAAAAAAAAAAAAATCCCACGAACCCCCACTTTAGTTGGTCATGCTTCAAAACCCTAATTCTGTCCCACTTCACTGGGCTATTGAATCTTAAAACCCATTTCCAAGGGTCAGAGGAATAACCTGACCTGAAGGTTATCATACTATCATCTTATGTTCAGTGGTCATCATAACCAATACTGAAGTCATGAACTCCATGAAGGTTGTACCAGCAAGAGAGGTTTTGGGAATCATGGAGATGGGCAGGGCAGGATTACCTCCAGGCTCAAGTCAGCATTTGTATTTGGAGGGTCAGCTCTTCTGAAGCCATCATGTATGAACACCCAGTCACACATGCACCCAGTAATTTTGGAGAGTTGCATTCCTTGTGAAAATAAGGGAGAGAGAGATGGAACAACTTAGGATCTAAAGCGCATGACAAATGCTTCTGATTCTGGACTTAAGATGGATGCCATAAGCTATGTTGGCTGAATTCAGGCCACTGTGGTGATTAATCAAGCAAACATCTCTCTGCACTATTTACATGACAGTTTAATCCCAGCCAGCAGCTTAGCCACACACAGCCACTCCCTTACTGCCTCCAGTGGGATGGGGGAATAAAGTTAGAAAACTGATGGGTTGAGACAAAGACAATTTATTAGGAAAGCAAAAGCTATGCACATGAGCAAAGCGAAACATTAAATTCATTCCCCACTTTCCATGGGCAGGCAGGTGTTCAGCCATCCCCAGGATGAGTAACAGTGATTTGGAGGAACAAAAACCATCACTTAAAACATTCCTCCCCTTGCCCCCATCCTTCTCCTTCCCCCAGCTTCATAGGCCAAGCATGACACCAAATGGTGCAGGATTTCCCTTGGGTTAGCTGGGGTCAGCTGTCCTGACTGTGTCCCCTTGAGCTTCTTGTGTTCCCCTCCCCTCCTTGCTGGAGGGGTGGGGTGAGGAGCAGAACAGACCTTGCCTCCATGTAAACACTGCTGAGCAGTGACTAAAACATCTCTGGAATTATCAACACTACTTTCATCACAAATCCAAAATATGGCCCCATACCAGCTACTAAGAAGAAAATTAACTCTACTCCAGTCAAAACTAGCACAATTACACACTGCAATTATTGACATTTGAGCTTAAAGAAATAAGCAAAGTATGTTACATTGCATGTATACAAAGCACACTTAAAGGAAAATATCCAATAACAATTTGAGGCACCAGTTTAAAATAAAAATACTGTAATAACAAGCCAAAGCTTTTCCTACTCCAATTCAAAACTGCATGGGAAAATGATTATTTGATATGCAGGCATCAAATTATCTGCTTCTATCTTCTCAAAACTTAAAGCATTTCTTAAATCTAAAAGTACTGCTCTCTGTATAGGCTTAATATTGTATAGCAACTGCATCAAAGCATCTTCAAAAACCACAGCTATTTACATACAACACTGCAGAGCACATTTTCAAGACATAACCACTGCCTGCATGGACGAAAGATTTATTTCAATATGTGTGCACATACTTAGAGGCTGAAGGTTTGGAAACCTGCTAGTAAGCTGCTACCTTATAATTTCCATATTTTAAAAATAAATAGTGGAATGCAGTTTTCAGTGATACATACCTACATACAGACAACACATCAATTTTGTGACAGCATTCCCAAATGTTGTTTCAACTCTTTCCCACTTTGGTTTAATGTCCAGATAGATCATTTGACCTGTTTGACATTTTCTCATCTTCCCATTCAATTCCTCATTTGCCTCTCATTTTTAGGTAAAAGAAAGGAGAAAGACTTTTGCAATCCTTCTAAGAGTAACAATAGACCTTTATGAATTTTGCTGAAGCTTCAGGGTATTTGCAGTAGCTGGAAGAGAGAAAGCTTGGGAAGCAGTTTATATAGGCTTTGACAATCCACACCAGCAGGAAGGGAGTGCAGTAACAGCCAGCTCACTCAGTCCTGGCTGTGGGGGTCCAGACTGTTCCAGCATTTTCTGCTAGTTTTGACTGTAAATGTGCTCCCTTCTCTCCACACAGCTCCTCCTAACAGCAATTGCTTTTTATGCAAAAATCCCTTCTGGTTTCATGATCCTTTACATACATTAAAAAAGACAGTTACAGACACTCTTACACTCCTTTGATTATGTAAGGAAAGGCATTTCCTTAAATTATTTTGCTGGCATTAACCTTTATCTTTCATATATTTTATTGCGCAATTTATCCCTAGACAGTTTCCAATTCTCCTCAGCTATGCTTACAGAATGCATTATTTATTGTCTGAATTTGCTCCAGAGAAAGGTTTAGTACAAAACTTCTTGCAAACATTATTTAAATCATTAACAACCCTAGAAAGAGTAATACAAAGAAAAACCATAATAATTTCTTTATTAAATCCTTAAGTAACCAAGCTAGTTACTGAGTATTTTGAATTGCTTTGCCATTATAAATTACTCTGTAGAAAAGGAATTACCACATCTTCCTTGCTGCACAGGCTTCCAACCACAAGAACCACATTAATCTGAAGCTTGGCAGAGGGTGCAACAAGGCTCCAGAGAGCAGCATCCCATACGATTTAGGAAAATGGTACAGGTCCCCAAGACTTGCATGGCTTCTTTCCCAGTAGGACCCCGTGACAACAGCAGCTAAGACCCTTGTCATCTAGGGCCCAGGCCACCCTATGAGCCAAAAAGCCATTTCTGCACAGGACTCAGCAACATGCAGTTAGCTTCTCACTTTGATTTAGGATTATCCAAGCAGAACTTCTACCTGGACCCCTCCTTCCCTTGCATGTTCTTCTGAGGAGAGAGGACCAAAGAGGTTGCACAGCAGACAATAGGAACACCTTTAAGGGCAGCACACACACCTAGACCTGGCTCCAGCATTCTTTGCATTTACACATCCAGCCAGGTATTATTAGGAAAGGGACCAGAGACTGCTTTCAAAGATGTCTTTGGAGACTGAGGATTAGTATTTGAAAATGTATGCATTTTCAGTCCATGGGAAAACTTTTCGGGTAGTAACTGTCTCTTACATGATAAAATGGGACATTGGGATTTTGATTGTGGTTGATGTAGAGCAGAAATAAAATAGAACAAAACCAGAGCCCAACAACAGGGGAAAATGCCAAATAAACTATATTTGAAATGTCCAGACACAACAAAACAAACACATTATTTTAAGAACAAGTAGTTATGAAATTTGTCTTGAACAAATGCAATCCAATTTACCCAGTCTGGTGGCAGAGGAATCTAAGCTAGCATTAAGATGTAGGGCCGGACAGAAATTAAATTTAGAATGCAATACAGGGTAAGACAAAGATAGACCCTCTTCCCACTCCTGTGTCTTCTTCCATCCTCCCAAAAAAGTAATCACAAGGAGCGAAAAAGTCAAGGATTTAAGGACTTGTGAATCTGTTCCCCAGTGCTTGCAAGAGCAGAGTTCCTAAGGTTTCCTCTGCATCCTTGAGGGCTAAAATAAATTTAAAAAAATAAAGAAAACAAGTTCTTAGCTGAAGCCCCAGCTCCTACTTGTGCTAGAATTTACTTCAGCAGCATGAAAAGTTTTCAGAAACAGATACAGTGGTGCATTAGAGTAAAAAAAAAAAAAAAAGGTAAATCAATTATCTATCTTTTTAAAGGGGTTCCTTTACTCTTCACCCACACACACACACACAGCCACACACACACACACCCTGATAAATGACATCACAGAACAGGAAGTTACACCAAAGATGCCAGAAGAGAGGGGAAGCTGGAAAGCAAAACAAATAAACTTTTTAAGAAAAACTTCTATGCATTCAACATGCATAGTTTGATAAGAAAAGAATCAAGCATGATATGTCACATGGAGACAAAATACGAGGGTTACAACCAATTTAAGTGTGAAAATATGAAGCTGAGAACAACTTAGGACAGTGAAAGATATAATGGAAGCTACTGGAAAAAAAAGGCAAAACATGGAGAAAGATTCCTCATGAAAACCGGCCGTAACCTATGGGTGCTCAAGGAATTACGACCATTTAAAGTGTAAACACCCTATGACATTTACAGCACAATGGTTTCCACATGCTGAAAATCTCAGAAGCTCAAGCACATCTTGGAAATACAAATTTCCCGCACTCTGACAGCATTGGGCACAACACACAATTGGTTTTTCCAATCGGGCTGTGTTCATACTGCTCTGACAGTAGCAGCAGGGTGCCTTAGGAGAGGGTGACAGGCTTAACTCCAGCAGCATGGCAGAGCATCCCTAATGCCCGGCTGTCAGCTGCCTCCACATCATAGAGTATTCAGCAATATTGCTTAACTTCCTGTCTCCCAAGCTACCAGCTCTGGAAGCTGGTGATTCCAAGCAGCGAGTATCAGCTAATTGTTGCTGCCGTAACGTTCAGGATATTTTATGGGTCAGTTTGTCACATGCACATAATAAATGCTTTTAACAGAGCTGCTCACACTGGGCAGGGAGGAGATTTCTGCACAATTGTGTGAGCATCAATTGTGTGGCCCAAATTTACCCTCTACAGATCTTTACCCAGGAAAAGTTATATCAATGGAAGAAGAGAGCTTATGTTATCCTCTCCCTAAGGCATGTGTAATTCTCATTTTCAGTGACCTCTTTAATGGGAAGAAAACTGTTCCATGAAACTGCTGTTTAATTTTTGGTAGATTTAAGTATCAGAGGAAAATAATGGTGTGATATAACAGAAGTTTCCAGGGCTGATGTAAGATCTAGGGTTATGGCACCATGATTAAACTGGATATTCTCTCTTGAATGCAGCCAGTCCCATGCAGATCTCACTCTCTTCCAAACTCCCAAGAATTATTCATTTTCAGTGGAAAAAAAGTTGGCATAAATCCAAAAACAGTAATACAAGAGATTTATTAGCACACAGTGTCTAACTACCCCACCTCAAAATACTTCATGTAGAGATACAAGGTACCAAGAAATTTTTCACATATCTCACTGCTCTGCTTCACTGCTGCACCCATCCATCCATGCACACATGATACAGGAAGATCAACTCTCCAGTTTAAATCCACAGCAGGCATCTCTAACTCATCTATTTCCAAGTTCCCTCTCCAAGGCTTGCTTGAGACCACTTTGCACACCCCTTCCTCCAAGTAGGGGCACCATAAACAAAAAAACAAGCACAAAAACCCCCTATACAACCTAACCCTTTGCTTAGCTTACAGGGACGAATTCCCTGCTGCCATGGTTACCATTCCAACTTCTCCTGTGGAACTAGAAATAAAAAAAATAATAATAAAAAACCCCAACTTCCCTGAGAACAGACGGCTATATGTTAGCTCTCCCTCCCCTCACTCATCATTGTTAGCCACTAAATCAGCTACATCTGGCATTTTTAATTTGGACTAAATAAAATGTCACTAATTAAAAAGATGCCAAACAAGCAGTCCATGACATTATAGAAACAGCTTGGTATTCAGCCTATTATGAACCGAAAGGAATCAACCAGTTTTTACCAAAAGCTGAGAAACAAAGGCAACTAAATGGTCCTCTATACAATCCTACTCACAACAATGTCCTCCAACTCTCCCCTATCATCTACATGTACTGGGCTTTCCAGGCATTAATTCCTGGAGCAGCAGTGGCTCAAAAGTGAAGTAGTTAGCTTTGAAGTCTGCAGCATTTATGCCAACTTTTAAAAAGAAGGTTACTTTGCCAAAGTGACAATAAGTAAGACATTCAGCAGGCATACACACAAGTTGCTTTAGAAGACCTGTGGCCACATAGTGGATAAACAGTAATAGCCCCTCCTCTCTTATATTCTCCCCAGTTCTCAGCAGCCTGATTTGAAGCATCACAAACTGCTACATCCTTCCTCTCTTGTAGCTCCTCTCTTCAGCATTTTCCTGAAGATTAACTTGTCATCTCTCTGCACCTCCTGCTGCAGGTCACAGAGCAGAGATGTGAGTGCTGCTTTGTACCAACACCTATTCCAGAGCAGCTCCTCTTACCCTGACATCAATATACCCTCCCCACCCAGTCCTTCCCATCATACCACGTGTGTCTTTCTCCTTTGCAGGTACATCATTATCAGTATTCCACTGCTGCTTATCAAACAAGATTTCAGTGCAAAGCTGCATATAAACCTCTTTTCACAGCCCTTAAATGTTTTCCATCATCTCTTTTGCCAACTGGTAATCTTTCATTCTATCCCTTGCGACTAGTTGAATAAGCATTTGAGTGATGTTATTTTTAGTGCCTCTAAGGCTGAGGATTTCCCAAGAGAACAGATCATCTTCTAAGTGCTCTGGTCCAGGTTCTCATCATTTATAAATCAGATGACTGACTCCTCTATTTTTACTGATACATGACATAGAACACATATTTAGGTGCATTTTGATTGCTATTGTTCAATTTCAGTACTGTTCATAATAAAGTAAGATCCAAACATTAAACATAGAAATCCCTCCACTAAAGTAAATTTTACAAGATATTCAAGAGGATTATGCTGGTAATGCTGGCACATGCCAGGCAAGCAAAAATATTACTCTTACAAACTCAGTAGTTATAAATGAATTAACAGGGAGCTTTACCCTCGTAACTCCAAACTTTAATAATAAGGACATAAGACAGCGATGATATGTTTCACAGTCAACACACCTTCAACTGATTTTTGGTTTGAGGTTTTTTTTTCATTATAAAAGTTTAAGAACAATCACAGGCTCACATAGGGTTGAGGGATGGAAAGGATCTCTGGAGGTTATCTGACCCACCCTGTAACTCAAGCAGGGTCACCTAGAGTCCTTTCTCTGGGACAGTGTCCAGGTGCCTTGGAGTATCTCCAAGGACAGAGATTCACAACCTCTCTGGGCTGTGACTGAGAGCAGTCAGTCACCTTGACAGTTAAAAATGTTGCTTCACATTCAGAGGCAACATCCTGTGTTTCTGTTTGTGCCCATTACCTCTAGTCCTTCTCCCGGACACCACTGGAAAGATCCTGGGTCTGTCCTCTTTGCACTCTCCTTCAAGGTAATTATACACATTCATAAGATACTCCTGAGCTTTCTCTTCTCCAGGCTGAACAGTCCCAGCTTTCTCCGCCTTTCCTCACAGCACTGATGCTCCAGTCCCCATATCATCTCTCTAGGCCTTTGCTGGATGTTCTCCAGTATGTCCATGTCTCTCTTATGCTGGGGAGCCCAGAACTGGACCCTGTATAAACCTCTGAATTCAGAGCCTTTGTATAAGGCTGAATAAACCTCCCTTAACCCACTGGCGATGCTTTGCCTGTGGCAGCTCAGGATACCGTCAGCCTTCTTGGCAGCAAGGGCATATTGCTGGTTCACACTCAACTTGGGAGTCCACCAGGACCCCCAGGTCTTTTTCTGCCAAGCTGTTTTCCAGCCAGGTGACTCCCAGCGTGTATTGGTGCCTGAGGTTGTTCCTCCAAAGGTGCAGGACTTCACACTCGCCCTAGTTAAACTTTATGAGCTTTGTTGCCGCCCATTTCTCTAGCCTCGAAGCTCTTATACAGATAGTGAAAAGTTACATAACCACAACAGTAAATAAAAACATCAGAAGATCTAGTTTGATCAGGAACCCTAAATGGGTCTTTTGTAGGCTCTTCATCAGTATTTTTCCAAGAAGGTGGCTCAAAGTTCCCTTTAAGTTAGTGTTACAGTCAGCTTGTCAAAGGCTGATGAAGTTAATAGTGTACGTATAAATATGAAGCAGTGTGCTGAAATCAATGTCATGATAAAAAAATGCTTCCTCATATAGATTATAACATAATGCCAGAGATCTGATGCCAAAGCCTGCATGAAAGAAAATGCTACTTCTTCATTCAGCATCTGCTTCAGATTATTTTGCATGGAAGTCACTGCTGCTCTGAAGCTGTCAAGGCACAGTCAGCTTCCAATTAAGCTATCTTATCTTTGAAGTTAATTGGAAGCAAAGCTTTTTCCTCCCTATAGGCATCCCCCTACAAGCAAGTAATCTGAGATAATTTCCAAACGTATTCATTCTGTGCTGTCCACCCAATTAAGTATCTTACATAAATGCAATCAAAGAGCCTTCTCTCTAATTGAAAAGTTTATGCAACAATTTTCATGAGGATCCCATTAAACATTTAAAATAATTACCTGTATTAAAAAGACAATTATATTCAAATAGCTCACATGCCTAGTTTCTTTGTTTAGTGTATGCAAAAGGGTATGAAAAAAATCCCCAGAGAAAAAGAGCAAACATTGGGTGAATCCTTTAAGACAAGAGATACTCCCTAGAAACTAATTCTGCGTAATATTAAGTGGGAAATCTTTTAGCAGTGGCCTTTCTACTGTAGCTGATCATAAAGAAACCAACCATTTCCAAGACTCTAAAAGGCAGTGCCAAGGGAGCTGACTGTATTTTTATGTGCTATAGATAACACATAAAAGTCATTACCTACAAGCATACTTCTTTCTGCCCCTTTCTCCCCTCCCTAAATTATTGTCAAGTGGTTAAAGAAATCCACCATGCAAAGATACCAGTAACTTTATCTCTGTCCTGGCATGAATGGTAATTTTTTTCTCAAAGGATTTTGATGCCTCTGTATTTATATCATGGATCTTCTTTAGGATTATGCT